GGTTACATAAACGGGAAATGCTCAAAGCCAGATTCCAAGGATCCTAACTTTGATCAATGGGAATGCTGTGATGACATGGTCACATCATGGATTCTGAATTCTATATCGAAGGATTTAGCGGATAGTTTGCAATACGTTCACGATGCACAAGAGCTTTGGCAGGAATTGGAGGATAGATATGACCAAACAAATAGAGAAAAGTTGTATCAGTTACAGAAAGAGATAAATGACTTGAGTCAAGGAACCCTAGACATCAAGATACTACACTAAGATGAAGAAGCTCTGGGAAGAGCTGAACACATTGAATGCACATGCTCAGTGCAAATGAAACTGCACATATGGTGCTAAAGCAAGTGCAGAAGGCTGAGTAAGACAGAAGGTTAATCCAGTTCTTAATGGGACTAAACGAAGTCTATACTGTGGTAAGGGAAGTATCCTAATGATGAACCCGTTGCCCTCACTCGCACGAGCTTTTTCAATTCTTATCCAAGAAGAAAAAGAAAGAGAAGTCAAACCAAATAGTCAGTTTATAATTGAGTCTATTGCCCTGAGTGCTGATAGATCAGGGGGAAATGCTTTCAGAACAAACTATAATCAACAACCAAATTTTGCGGACAATGCTGGGTATACAAGCTATAATCAACAAGGAAACAGGATTGGGAACAGTAACTATAGGGGAGGTTATTCTGAAAGCAGACCTCGACCCTTCTGTGACTATTGTAAGAAACCAGGTCACACTAAGGAAAGATGTTACAAATTGCATGGTTATCCACAAGGCTCAAGGTTCAACAAGGGAAAAAGGATTGTTGCTAATGTACATGGAGGATAGTGTGAGAATAGCATGGAAGGTCAAGATGGAGACAGTGGTCAAGTACAAGAACATGATCGAACCATGCAGAACCTTACAAAGGAACAATATAATCAGCTGCTGAGCATCTTGGAGAACTTTCATGCTGGAAATGGAGAAAATAAAATGAAGGAAGGGGCTGTGAACTTTGCAGATATTTCAGCTTGCTCAACTTCTTTTGATTCTGGTGCTAAGTCAAATGAGTGTTTTAGATCAATTGACGACTCTTGGATACTTGATTCTAGGGTATCAAACCATATGACCTATAATAAATCCATGTTAACCAATATAAAAACTTTAGTTATCCTTTCCTAGTTACATTACCCATTGGCTATAAGATGAAGGTGACATTAATGGGAGATGTAGTCATGAGTCCTAAATTCACCCTGAAAAAGGTCTTGTTTGTACCTAGTTTCAAGATCAACCTAATCTCGGTTTATTTTTTAACAGTTTAACTTGATTGCTATGTCATATTCACCAAATTTGCTTGTATCCTTCTGCAGGCCCCTTCACTGAAGAGGCCTCTGGAAATTGGTAAAAGCAAAGATGGTTTGTACCTTTATACCTCAGATTCCTGCAAGTCTAATGCCATGTTTCATGCCAGTTCATCTAGTTCATCTAATAAAGGTGACTTAGTCACTCAGTCTGTTTCACACACTCCATCTAGTCTGTCTAGTATTAATGATGTTGTATCACACTCTGTTTCACATGTTATACCTAGTCCACACTTTTCTTCTCATGAATGTAATAAAATTGTCATAGAATCTCATATGCAATGTAAAGGAAATGTTACTTCTACTTGCAATACATCTATGTATGATAAAGATATGATTGATCTCTTGTGGCACAATAGATTGGGACATGTCCCCTTTTCCAAAATGAAAGGAATTAAATCCATACCTGTTCATTTTTTACCCAAACAACCTTTCATTTGTCCTATATGTCCAATGGCTAGACAGAATAGGTTGCCCTTTCCAAAAAGAACTACAGCCACAACGAAAATATTTGAAATCCTACATGTTGATCTATGGGGGCCTTACCATGTGAAAACACATGATAGGCATAAGTATTTTATCATCCTAGTAGATGACTACAATAGGTGCACTTGGACAGACCTACTTAGCTGCACAAGTAATGCTTTGCAGGTAGTCAGAGCTTTTACTGCCATGGTAAAGAACCAATTCAATTGTTCCATCAAGACCATAAGAACCGACAATGGTCTTGAGTTCATAAATTCTGAAACTACATCTTTCTTGCAGTCTGAAGGCATTATACACCAGAAACCTGTCCCTATACTCCCCAACAGAATGGGATAGTAGAAAGGAAACACAAGTACCTGCTAGAAACAGCTAGGGCACTATTATACCAATCTAAACTTCCCTTGTAATACTGGGGAGAATGCATCCTTACATCAACCTATTTTATCAATAGACTCCCTTCTACTACATTTAAAAACAGATGCCCATTGCAGTTCTGTACAACAGGAAACCAAATTACTCTCACCTTAAAAGTTTTGGATGTCTTTGCTTTCCTACAACCCTTAAAACTCACAAAGACAAATATGAAACAAGATCTCCACCTCATGTTTTTATGGGATACATCTTTGGAACAAAAGGTTATAAGGTCCTTAATCTAGTCACAAAGAGAATCCATGTATCAAGAGATGTTGTATTCCATGAGGGTGTATTTCCATTTGCTTTGCATTCTGATTCTAATAGAGTCTTTCCTTCATTCCCACAAGTAAATTCAGATTTAGCACAAGATTTATTTCCCTCTCATGAGTCAACATCTGCTCCTAGTTCACCAGGTCTACATCTTCCAGCTATGTCACCTGATCCTCCATCACCAGGGTTGAATGAACCTAATTCTCATACAACTTTAAATTTTGACCAATATTCTCCTTCTTTGGTTAATAACAATCAGAATGAGATCACTACAAACAGTACTCCTAATTCTGCAATCCAACAGGATAATGAAACTTCTGGGAGACCCTCCAGAACACTTAAAATTCTTACTTATTTGAAAGATTACAATTATTCACTCCCCAAGCTACAGACAAGTCACATTAACTCCCTTTCTAGCAGCAACCAAAGCTCCACCTCCCTTTCTTTTAATGCATCTATACCTAATGCACAATATGTTTCCTTCAATGCTTTGAGTTTTGATAGTCAACAATTGATCAAAAACATTTCTCATGAGTCTGAGCCCAGCTCATATGAAGAGGCAGCTGCTAATCCTGCATGGCAGAAAGCTATGAACTAGGAATTTCAAGCACTCTACGCCAACCACACTTGGAGCTTAGTGCCACTTCCAGTTGGTAAAAGAACAATAGGACGTAAGTGGGTGTATAAGGTGAAATACAAGGCAGATAGGAGCATAGAAAGATTTGAGGCAAGATTAGTGGTAAAAGGATACACTCAGTAGGCAGGGGTAGATTATACGTAAACTTTTTCACCTGTAGTGAAGATGACAACTGTTAGAGCCCTAATTGGTACAGCAGTGAAGAAAGGTTGGGAGATTTTTCAACTAGATGTCAACAATGCATTCCTCCATGGAGACCTCCATGAGGAAGTGTATATAGAGGTACCTCCAGGTCTTGTTATGGACAGACCAGATTTGGTGTGCAAATTGAACAAGTCCTTGTATGGACTGAAGCAAGCAAGCAGGCAATGGTATGAGAAGTTGACTGAAGCACTTTGTTCAAGAGGATACACCCATTCTCTACTGGATTACTCACTTTTCTATAAGACGCATGAGACTTCAGTGGTGTTTGTGGTTGTTTATGTAGATGATGCCCTACTAACAGGGACTGATTTACAAGAAATAGAAGGACTGAAGGCTTTTTTGCATGAGACTTTCAAAATAAAGGACCTGGGAAGGCTACATCATTTCCTGGGATTGGAGATTTTGTACAAAGATGATGGGGGTACTGATATCCCAAAGGAAGTTCACAATGGATTTACTAACAGAGTTTGATTGCACTAAGTATTCTGCTGTGGTCTCTCCATTTGATCCTGCTACCAAGTTGAGTGTAGATGAGGGGTGCTTATTACCAAATCCATCTCACTATAGGCGACTAGTAGGAAAGTTGAATTTCCTAACCAACACAAGGCTTGACATATCCTACAGTGTACAGCACTTGAGCCAATACATGTAAAGTCCAAGAGAGCCACACCTAAAAGCTGCATAACATGTCCTAAGGTATCTCAAAGGTGATCCAAGCTTAGGGATTTTTTTTTCCAATAGCAGAGACTACAGGGTTCGAGCCTTTTGTGATTCAGACTGGGCTGCCTGCCCTGAATCAAGGAAGTGAGTCAGTGGATATATTGTGTTGATAGGAGATAGTCCTATTAGCTGGAAGTCTAAGAAGCAGCACACTATTTCATTGTCCTCGGCAGAAGCAGAATACAGATCAGCTAGACAGGTTGTGGGAGAATTAGTATAGTTACTTAGGCTGCTTGAAGAGCTAACAGTTCCCTTAACCTTACCTGTCCTTGTTTTTTGTGATAGCCAAGCATCCCTCCACATAGCCAAGAATCCTGTATTCACTACAACATTATGCATATACAGCTACGAAACATGTCGTAGCTAAATATGAAAATTTTCGTGGCTAAACACTTTAGCCACAATAATTTTTTCCGTAGCATCCGTAGCTAGAAGTAGCGTAACTAAAAGTTAGCTACAAACTTTAACATTTCGTGGCTAAGGATTAGTATTTATTGCTACAAGAAATTTTTGATGTGGCTATATTAAAAAATATTTTGCTACAAAAAATATATATCATCTATAGCTAATAATTTTATCATTTGCCACGATAAATTATTTTTGTAGCTATCTTCTATACTTTAACCACAAAATTCAAATATGTAGCTATGCTCACATATTAGATTTATATTATAGTATTTATATTTAGCTACCAACCCATAATTTCATAGCTATAAATTGTCAAAATATCCATGATTAGATTTTTTTATTATGTTTTATTTGGTGACTAGATTTTTATTGCATTTTATTTTTATTTATGAAAAATTAATTTATTCGAGATAATTAATTTTTCTGTACTGTACATTGCCATTTTCCTTTTTTATCTCACTAAATATTTTTAAAAGTTTCAAATATTCAATATCCATACATGTTTGATCAAATCATAATAAACTTTGAATATCACTTTATTATACAAATTGGCATCTAAATAGTTTCAAAAAAAAATTCTAAAAATACAATTGTCTATCTAAAGTAGACTCGGTTATTTAACTATAATCTATAAAATTCGGAAGGGTTCCACATCAAAACAAAACCAAGTTCTAAGTCATTGATTTGAGGATTGAACATGTTGCCACCAGATGATTTTCTGCAGTCAAGGATGAAGTTATTTCACTCTTTGCATCAAGGCTAAATCCTTGATCTTCTTGCATTCAATAGATTAAATTGTACCCTGTAAATTCAAAAGAAGTAATAATAACTACAAAAGAATGAGCGAACCAAAAGAAACATTAACACAAAGATGCAAGTTTGATTTGTAAAAATGCTAGTAGAACGTTCAAAGAAAAAAAAAATTATCTGTAGTAATTCTTTTACAAGAATTTTTAGCATATACTAAGAGGGAAAAATTCAAAGCAACAAGATAAGAAAACAAACCTATATACTTTTCTATAAACTTTTGAGAATTTTCATCTCATTTTGGTAATGTTTTTTCGACGAACTGTGGCTCCTCCCAACATTACATCATAATCTTCAAGATTCCACTCAATACCTATCAGAATAGGACACAATACCTATCAAATTGTTAGAATATATATCCAAAAATTCAAATCAAATAGGTGTATGGGGATTTAGAAATCTTAAGATATAGATATATAAACATACTTGGAACGAGAGAAGGTGCCGGGCTATCTAGCCAATAATTCCTTTGGTTGCTCTGTTCCTGGGAAAAGAGAAGCGTTGTTGAAGAAAGAACGGGAAAATGGGGAAGGGGGATGGCGGCAGGGAAGGGGAAACGGGAGAATGTTTTTATTAGGTTTAGGAAATGTTGATTTGGGCCAATTGGCCTTTACTTTTCTTTTCTTTTTGTTAATATATATTTGCTTCCTTTTTTTCCTTACTTAACATAAGTAACATAAATGCAAGAAATGTAAGTACTAACAAATACAAGTAAGTAAATAATATTATCTATGAAAAATGCAAGAGATAAAATACATAATTTGCACTAAATAAAATAGAAAAATCATCTTAGATGAAATAAAGATATTCTATAATATATTATATTCTTTACAACTTTTTTCGTCCTATACAATGTTGTTAGTTTTGTTATGTACTTCTATTTAATTATATTAACTTATTAGTTTTAGTGTTTAATTAGATTATAACTGTTATTAAGTTATTAAAATAGCATTAAACCATTAAATAAATAACCTTTATATTTATCTAAATTAAGTGTGATTAGTGATCACTTATCAATGCTCATAGATACAAATGTATTGTTTAAATTTGATATTGTTTGATATCCAAATCTAATGATCATTAATTACGTAATTATTTAAATTGTTGAAACTTACAAATATATTTTGTTTACTAGTTAGTTTTATTATACACTCATATATCAGCCTTAATAATTTTAAATTATGTAAATATTATAAAATATCAAATAATAGACATAAGAGAAACATGATCCTCTTCATGTATCATTATCATATTTAATTCTCAATTCTTAGATCAATGTATAATTTAATTTATGACAATTAGAAGCTTATTAAGATAGTAAATCATTATAACATATTTTTAACTTATTTGTACAGGATTATAATGTTTAAATTCTATATAATTAGTCATTCACGCATTAATTCCATATATTTAATAAGAATTATAATATAATTAATTTTCCTATGGACTTGAGTATCAATTAATTTCTTAATTCTTCGTGTAAATAGCTATAGTAGAATTATAAAAAAACTAATATGAATTATAATGTTGTAATTTTTTTTTTTTGGTGTTAAATATGTTCATTATATTTATTTGGAGCCTTTTGTCATTCATCAAACTAAATATACCAAAACTATCACAAAGTTCTTCAATATATATATGAGCACTGATTTAAAAAGAAATCATTAGATATATGAAATTACTTTAGTACTTAATATATACATATACGTATATCAAACAAATCTTCGATATATGAAGACTTATTTAAAAATAAATACTTAATTATAAGAAAGTACTCTAATTACTTATTTAAAAAATAGTAAGTACTCGACATACATAAATTCTCTATAAATATCAATATATTTTGAATTTTACATCAAATGTATATAATTAACGTCCAAAAATAAGAAGTTGCATTAAAATAAATTTGAGTTTGATAAATCTAAAAAGTAACTTGATAAGTTTTGAGGCTACAAGTAAGCATATAAATGATATATTATTGAAGATTAACTTTTGCATTTTAGTTTTTGTTATTTAAAATTTAATTAATTTATATATACATTTACTATATTTTCTATATTTTGAAAAAATCTAACTTTTGCAGTTAAAATTGATTTTTCACAACTTATTATCGTTTGACCAATTGTTTCAAATATATAAGGTGGCTAGAAGATTGCTATAGTTACGGCAAATGTACATTGTGGCAAAAACTAATGCTTAGTTATAAAATTCTACCATAACAATAAATCTGTGGTTATATTGTTTATCGTAAAAAATAATTGTAGTTATTAAGCCAACTATTACCATGATTGTTAGAACTTGAAGCAAAATTATTTATTTAGTAATATTTTGAAATAAATAAATTATTGTGACTAAAAGGTTTGTATTGCTATATTAAGTTTCAATCATGACAAAAATTAATAATTAGTTGCGAAATTCTATTATAGCAAGAAATCCATGGCTAATTTAACCTATCTTGCCACAAACTTTTATAACTTAAAGCAAAATATTTAATTTAGCTACACTATTTTGTTTCAAATATTTTATTGTGGCTAAAAGAATATTACAGGTATAGTAAATTTCAACTCATGGCAAAAAAAATTAATGATTAGCTACGAAATTCAATAGCAATAAATCCGTAGCTATATCATTTAACTACTGCCACAACTTTTTAGAACTTGAAGCAGAATTATTCATTTAGCTACAATATTTTATTTCAAATAATTTATTGTGGCTAAAATGTTACTATTGCTACGGTAACTATTGATGCGTGGCAAAAACTTATGAATAGCTACAAAATTTTATTTGTAGCAATAAAGTTGTAGCTATTTAGGTAGCTATTGCCATGATTGTTAGCAACTATAGCTAATATGAGGAATTAGCTTTATCAACACAATTTTCGTAGCTAAGAAATTTTATTATTTTGTAAATAGCCATAGAATTCTAAATTTTGTGGGTATTGTTAGGTACTAGCTACAATTTTTAAATTTGTAGCTAAAATTTCGTAGCTATAGATGTATAATGTTGTAGTAATTCCATGAACGCACGAAACACATAAAAGTGGATTGCCACTTTTAAGGAATCAGCTACATGAGAGCCTCATCTCACTGCATCATATTTTCACACATGAGCAGACAGGAATCAAACATTGCAATCTACTTAGCAAGTTGGCTGTGAGTTCCTCCCTTCCAACTGGGGGGGGGG